CAAAAATAAGGCCCCACTTTGAAATCCGACAACGATCGGATTCTAGAAAGCCGTACGAAAAGTAACCTTTGTCCGATCCAGTGGAAAAAACAATACGCGGAGAGGGTGAGACATCTTCTGGACGGAGTCGAGGAGAGGAGAGTAGTATTCATATTGGGTGCTTAATTGTGCAGGGGGAGAGGGGTGGAGAGGGGAGGTGAGATGGGGTGTGGAGGGGGGGGAGAGAGGGAGAGAGAGAGAGAGAGAGAGAGAGAGAGACAGAGACGAGGGGAAGATGGAGCCAGGAGGAGGATGAGTCGGAGAGGGGCGGAGGGGAGAGGAGGAGGAGGAACACGCGGAGAAACACAATCAGGAGGATAGGATGAGGAGGAGGAGGAGGAGGAGGATCAGAGAAAACATATTGCATCGTCACCTCTACCCTCCCTTCCACCGTGTGGGGGGGGTGAGGGGAGAGGGGGGGATCCTCTCGAAATGCGGGCGAAACTTATGGCACTCGTTTGCGCTGGCTCGTCCTGCTGCTTCCTCTCCTTTCCCCAAGCTCTCGACAACATCAACCAAGGCTCCGCCTGATATTGTCCCCGTCTTTCTGGTCTCATGCTCCGGCCTGTGGTCGGCGATGCTTGAACATGTTAGATCCAACGTTTCACGCGTTGCCCCCAAATGATGATGCTGATGCTGATGATGATGAAGATGATGATGAGCGTGATGATGCTGAATAGGCTGATGAAGATGACGAGGATGATGACGATGCTGATAATGACGATGATTATGGTATGATGATGGTGATGATGAGTCTGATGAGTCTGATGAGTCTGATGATGATGGTGATAAGCATGCTTGAGCATGATTACGGTGATGATGATGATGAGGAGGAGGACGAGGAGAAGGAGGAGGAGGAGGCGGATGATAATGAGGAGGGGAATGATGAGACGGGGAGGAGGGAGCATGGATGAGGCATACAGGAGAGGAGGGAGGGTGGCAGAGGCACCCTCCTTCTCCTCCCTCTCCTCCTGCTGCTGCTGCTGCTGCTGCTGCTGTGCTGGCGGCCTTCGGTGCCTCCTCCTCGTCCCCCTCCTGGGGCCGAAGCTAGTGGAACCTCCTTCGTCTGGTGACTGACGCCATCGGAATCGTTCCGCCCCGGCCATCGCTGGGAGGAGGGGCGGGAGAATCCTCCATCCCCTTTCCTGATCAGTAACTCCTCCCTGTCGCACCTGGGGACGTGTCGATAGGCCGGGCTGGGCGTTCCGCCTGAGACTTCCTCACCATTCATGATCCTTGAGCTTATGTGCAACAATTTCACGGATGAGTGGCGGGCCATTTTCAAAATGTGGCTCTCGCCGAAGCGCCGCGCACATTCGTTTCAAAAATTATTAAGAGTTTCGCCGATGGAGGACGTGTCGCTTTCAAAGTTCGGCTCCAGCCTTACGCCGCGCACATTCGTCCAAAAAAATTGCGAGGGCTTCACGGATGGAGGGCGGTACCTTTTCAAACAGTGGCTCTCGCCTGAACCCCGCGGGCACTTATCGTAAGAGTTTACAGCCGATTCGAGGACTCTTACGGCTGACGTCCCAAACATTTTTCCCAACCATCCTGTGGTTTTGGGTCCTACGTTTGAAGAGACAGAGCCCCGCGTCTCACCTCCTCCGGCTGCCCCCTCCCTCGTCCCCTTCCTCCCTCCTCCCATTCCTGCTTCTGCTCGCCGCATGTCCACCATATCGGCACACCCCTCACTAGGATCGTGGCCCCATAGGGAGCTCTACCGAAGGCCCCGGCTGCAGGGTTTGCATGCGTCCCCCCGCTGATTTCTGCACACCCCTCACGAGGATCGTGGCCCCATGGGGAGCTCCACCGAAGGCCCCAGAGGCAGGGTGTGCATGCGTCCCCTGCCCATTTCGGTACACCCCTCACGAGGATCGTGCCCCCATAGGGAGCTCCACCGAAGGCCCCAGCGGCAAGGTTTGCATGCGTCCCCCTGCTGATTGATGCACACCCCTCACGAGGATCGTGGCCCCATAGGGAGCTCCACCGCAGGCCCCAGCGGCAAGGTTTGCATGCGCCCCCCCGCCCATTTTGGCACGCCCCTCACGAGGATCGCAGCCCCATAGGGAGCTCCACCGAAGGCCCCAGCGGCAGGGTTTGCATGCGCCCCCAAGCCCATGTTGGCACACCCCTCACGAGGATCGTGGCCCCGCAGTGAGCTTTACCGAAGGCCCCAGCGGCAAGGTTTGCATGCGTCCCCCCGCCCATATCGGCACACCCCTCACGAGGATCGCGGCCCCAAAGGGAGCTCCACCGAAGGCCCCACCAGCAGGGTTTGCATGCGTCCCACTCCATTTCGGCACACCCCTTACGAGGATCGCAGCCCCATAGGGAGCTCCACCGAAGGCCCCAACGGCAGGGTTTGCATGCGTCCCCCCGCCCATGTCGGCACACCCCTCACGAGGATCGCGGCCCCATAGGGAGCTCCACCGAAGGCCCCAGCGGCAGGGTGTGCATGCGTCCCCCCGCCCATGTCGGCACACCCCTCACGAGGATCGTGGCCCCATGGGGAGCTCCACCGAAGGCCCCAGCGGCAGGGTGTGCACGCGTCCCGCCGCCCATTTCGGCACACCCCTCACGAGGATCGCGGCCCCATAGGGGGTTCCACCGAGAGCGGTACCCACAACGCGGTACTTACAGCTGCACATGGTTGGGTCCTTCGCCAGGATCATTTTTTTTGTGTTTGGGGGGGGGGGCACGATGTAGGACTGTCAGAGCACAATCGTCATGTTGATTCGCAGTGTTGAAGTCCCAGGAATGGTGTTCTGGCCCAGCTCAAGATTTCAACACGGTTGTCCTCCAACGGGACACTTCCTCGAGTGAAAATACACCCTTGTAGGGACTTGCGAAGAGGGAACTAGGAGGGTTGATGGGTCGTGGGTTTGCGCTGGTCCCCCTCCTCCTCCTCCTCCTCCTCCTCCTCCTCCTCCTCCTCCTCCTCCTCCTCCTCCTCCTCCCCCCTGCGAGTTTAGGGGGCGGACGAAGGGAGAAGGTCAACAGCCCTCCGTGATGGAAACACGTGATCAAACCGTCAGCCCTTCAGGAAGAGGATCGACCCCCTGCCTCGTTAGTCCTCTGCCAAGGAGGTCGATGGCTTCTTCTCCTTCTCCTCCGAATCCTCGAGGCCCTCTTGTCTCCTGGCCCCGGCCCCCTGGGGCAGGCAGAGGACAGAACTGCCAGTGCGCCAAGGTGCCCAAACGGAGCGCGGGTGCGCCCCCCGCGACCTCTGGGCGCCGCCAGGAAGAGCAACGGCAGGCATTCGCTCCCCGCCCAGCAGGCTGGGCCCGATTTCCACCACCACCATAAGTTGGAGGAGGGGGAGGAGAAGGAGGAGGAGGAGGAGGAGGAGGAGGAGGAGGAGGAGGAGGAGGAGGAGGAGGAGGAGGAGGGGGAGGAGGAGGAGGAGGAGGAGGAGGAGGAGGAGGAGGAGGAGGAGGAGGAGAGAGGAGGAGAGGAGGAGCCACGGCAAGCACTCGCTCCCCGCCCGGCAGGCTGGGGCTGGGAGAGATGGCCGCGGGAAGCAGAACAAGCTCCCGACTCCCGACCCGCCTCGCACCCTCTGCGCACCGCGGCCGCCAGGCCCACCCTGTGTCGGTGCTTCCCTCAGGTCAGGCCTGTCCCCCTACCAGGGGGATTTTGGGTGAAAAATGAGACAGATGCAAAACCTATGGCAAACATGAGAATCGTCCCCGGACTATTTCTGACAATGTTTGAATATTCCTCCTGTAGAGAGACAGGCCCGACTTGATGCTTCCCTTGTGTCCCGCCTCGTGCCTTTGACGGATGACGACTGCTTGCCGAGGCTGCCAGCCGATGCTCTCTGGAAATTCTGCCTCGCGCTGTTGGGTGGGGATCTCTCGAAGCAAACTCCGCTTGTCGCAATCTTGGCTATCTAGAAGGTTGGTGGGCCCCAGAAACGGCAAAGCTGGTCTCTCATCGTCTCCGGAAAAAAAAACTCTTGGAAACAGAACCGGCAACAGAAACGGCCTCCAAAAACGGCAACAAAAACGACTCCGGGATGGGAACTGGAACCGGAATCGGTAAAACAACGGCGACGAAACCGGTAAAAGCACGGCGTCGGAACCGGCAGCAGAGAGGCAGAGCAGGACAGGTGAGAAAGCGGCCCTGTCGTTCCCAGGGCCCCCTGCGTCCAGGGGGGCCTTCTGCAGGTCAGTGCCACCAGGAGACGACACTCGCCAGAGGACCGCCTCCATAGGGGTGGGGGTCGAGGGCTCCAGGCCCACGGCGGGGGAAGCCACGGCGCCGGAGGTGTGGGTCCGCGCGCGACGGGAGCGCTGCTGGCGCGCGGGCCCGCAGCCAGAGGCCCAGCTGCGGCCACGGGGTGTGCCAGGGTGCAGGCTGCAGCCTCGGCGGCGGCGGCGGCGGCGATGGTCAGGGCTCCACGGCGGGCAGCGAAGACCCCCCAGCGTGCAGGACCCTGTGACGGCGACCGAGGGTTCCAACACGTACGCGGGGATCCTACGGCCAAGAGCGCATGGAGGCAACGGGGAATCCTACCATACAGGCCAAGACCCCTGTGGCTGAGCCCTCATGGCGGCGACCATGAATGCGAACACGCAAACCAAGGTCGTGCAGCCAGGAATCTATGGCGGTGACCGGAAATCCCCACAGCAAAAATCCATCAGTGCAAGCATTGCTCGATTCATGATGTTTGTCGCAGTCAAGAGCGAATGTAACGCTTGCTCAATTCAGCGCCCGGCTGAGAGCACGGCCTCTCACCCTCAACATTGACCGCTGGAAAGGGTCAGCTCGCAATTCTAGGGCCACCGCATCGCGAGCCCTCCATGGAGGATTCGTCAGCAAGTGCCCCGAGTCCAAAGCACCACCTTCGCAGCTCTGCTGGACTGCAGGCTGGTGACGCAGTAGGCACGCTCGCTTTTGTCAGGCCAGCGCGTGGCGCTGGAACGCCAGACCATGCAAGTCGCATGCGCACCGCGGAGTTAAAAAAAAACTGGCTCGATATACCTCGGATCTGCCTTGCTTCCTGCTTCCGCACTCCTTGCTATCTCATTCCTGCTGCACCCGCCATGTTCCCCAAACAGTGTTTGCACGTAGGGTTCTTACTTCTGTTTTAAACAACTAGGCTTGTGTGGCGGTCTGGGCGATATGATGTCGCCGTCGCCGCCCCGTCGCCGCCAGTCGCCTGGGCTGGTGTGGCGGTCTGGCGGCAATGTTGTCACCGTCGCCGCCCCGACACAGATAGCAAAACATAGGATCGCACAACATAAGTTGCACCACATGTCTTCTCCTTCCTAGGATCCCCCCCCCGGCATCCATGTCGTATTGAATTTACACATGATTCTGCCCCATCGCCCAACCGACATATGAGCTCATCCCATCCAAGCTAAACCGGAATCATCAATTTTCAAAGGTTCCGTGCAAGCGGCGGGACGAAGTGCCCACGCGCGCGTCGTCGCGCGCGCATGCCGAAATCCTTCAACAACCGCAAGTTTCACAAGGATTTCAAAGTCGAGTGTCCCGAACACATATGAAACACATGGCTTTGCAACGCGGATTTTCAAACAAAGCCTGCGTTCACGTTCTTGCGAATTCTTAGGGGCACCACCGTTTTTTGAACATATTCCTAACATGCTACCAAGCTGACCTACGGCGCTCGCATGTCGAAAACATTCGAATGCCTTTGCGCGCGTGCTGTCGCAACCCCCTTTCAAACAACGGGACGACGTGCACGCGCGCGTGTCGTCGCGCGCGCATGCAGGAATACTTCAAACACCGTGGCTTCGAAACGCTTCAAAATCGAGTGTCCCGGAAACATATGAAGCACATGGCTTTGCAACATCTGTTTTCAACCGAACAAGAAACGCTTGCGCTCTTGCGAAACCGAAGGCGCCATAGTTTTTCTCCGCATTTTCATTCCATTCGGCCAAACGGACCTCCCGCGCTGCATGTCGAAATCATTCGAACGCCCTTGCGCGCGTACTGGGGGGGGGGCGGGGGGGGGGCCACGATCCGTGTCAAATCATGCAATGCGGGCCACTCTCGCGCGTCGGCCGCGCGCGCAAGTCGAACTCCTTCCAGAAACTTGATCACCGACGCGAATACGCCGTGGTCGTCATCGGCGTGATCAGCATCGGCGCCGTCACTGGCCATGCCGTTGTCGGTGTCACCATCGTCGCCAGCATTGTTACTATCATCGCTGTGTCTACCACTACCGACGCTGCCATGACACTGCGCCCGCCCAAGTCGCCGACTCGCACTGAATTGCCCGCTGGACACAGCGGTTGGCGCCACCGCGGCCGCGTCGGTCGCGCCAAACTAGCTGGCCGCTTCGCGCGCGAACGTGCGCGGGCTAGCGCGGCCGCAAAGACGCACCAGCCAACACCAAGTGCTCTTCGCGATCGGGGCTGCATGGGTTTTGCTAGCCAAGTTGCGGGGCGGTGGGTGAGATGGTTGCACAAGCAGTGGAGTTGACTACTTCAAGCTCGGCAGGGTGAATTGCGCCACAGACACATTTTCGCACAACACATATTTGCACCGCGTAGACGGCACATTCCATATATAGATGTATGTATGCATGTATGTATGTATGTATGTATGTATGTATGTATGTATGTATGTATGTATAAACGTATGTATATGGATGTATGTATGTATATATATATATATATATATATATATATATAGCTCGCGTCGCCGTCCTGGCCACCTGTTCTGGGACAAGGAGGGCCAAGCCGATTAGATGCGGAAGCAGGCCGCTGCGGCAGCAGGGGCAGTCCTGAGACGACCCCTACCCTCAAACAAAAAGTGCAATGTAGGCTGTGGGATGGCATTGGGAAAACTTCGAGCACAATAGCGTCAGATGGCACGCGCTCTGATAGAGACGGGCTGACATCCGAGTTTGTCCTTATCACCGACTATGCTGAGCATCAAGCTGTTAAAACACTCAACTCGCGTCGTCGTCCGAGCCACCTGTTTCGGGACAAAAAGGGCCAGCCGGATGAGATGCGGAAGCAGGCCGCTGCGGCAGCATGGGCGGTCCTGAAACGCACCCTACCCGACCCCGGAGGTATATTTGGCCGAAGGCCGAATTTACAACATTCTCAGATCGGACGTTTGGAGGGCTTGAGCATGCTGGAGGAACAGAGACTGAACAATGCAAGAGGCAACGGCGGCGGCAAGGCGAGATGGGTACTGAGCCGCGACGGCGGTTCGTTTCTGACCTCCCTCGTCATTCCGTTCAATGATGAGGTGTCGGTTGCCAGTTCTGCAACGCAAACCAGGGCGCCCCGAGCAAGTGTTTTCGAGCGGCAGCGTGACGGCAGCACCCCAAGGGGTGGTGGCCTTTCTGTAGGGTTTGCCGCGCTGGCACTGATGCAACGCAGACTTGCGACAGAGGGGCGACTTGCAAAGACGAGCCAGCGCAGGGCCAGACCAAATTAGTGAGGTCTGAAGATTCTCAAGAAATGCCGGAATGCAAGCGGCAACGCAAGCACGGATCAGTCTCACTGTAAGTCTGTAGGTGGCATTGTCGGCATCAGCTCTAGCCTGCTCACAGGAGCTCGCATCTGGAAGGCCAATCGGGTGGAGTGAAGAGCGGAGCGGCCGCCGGAGCGCTCGCGTCCAGCTCGTGCATGGCGTGCCGAGCCAGATAGCGCCCGCCGCCCGAGAGGCCACCCAGCCGTGGACAACGGACCGGAATGCCGCTGCGGCGTGGTCCTCCAGTGGACTGCGGCTCCAGTCGCGCCCGAAGCTAGCGAAGCCCAGAACGTGCACCGCTCGGGCGATCGCGCCGGTGCCGCAGAACAGCTCGAGCACAGGGCGCCGGCGAAGACGGCGACCAGGAGCGGCAGCCCGCTGATGCTGTCGGATGGCCTCTGGGCCGCCTGAGGCCGTCACGGTGCCGTTGCGGGGCGCCTGCGCACCCGCCGGGGGGCGACGGCTGGCGCTCTGTGCGGGCCGGCGACCGCGGCCAGCGCGCGGCCAGTAAGTCGTCGGCAGCGCGGGAGGGGAGCCCTCGATGAGCTCGACCAGGTGGGCCTCGACGAAAGCCCCGATCACGTCCAGCAGCTTCGTCGTCTTGGCATGGCCGTTGAGGCTCTTGGCGGGCCGCCAGCGTCCGCGACGTTGACCCTCTAGGAGCGCCCTCCTCTGCGACAGCATGTCGTCCGATGCTCCGCTGCAGAGGTGCGGGCGGAGGCGCTCCAGGGGTAGCTCGCGGCAGACCTGGGCGAGGAGCTGCGGCGGCAACGTGATCAAGTCCATCCACGGCGGCAGGTCGAAGAGTGTGGTGGTCTTGAGGGCCGTCAGCAAGGGCACGAGCGAACGCTCCCGATCGAAGAGGATGCTCTCGTCGTGCGCGCCCGTCTTGTTGGACTCCTGGCCGCTCTCGTGCAGGATGAGGCCGTAGTGCTGGCAGGGCGCCCCCGCGGCGGCGGTGGGTGGCGCCGCGTGGCGCCCGCGCAGCCTCGCCGCCTCGCTCGGCCTGAGGTGGCAGGCGAACGCGACGAGGATGCAGATGGCGTGCAAGCAACGCCCGTCGCGAAGCAGGATTCCCGCGATGGCGAACGCGACCGGCCTCGGCCGCGGGAGGCGCTAGCGGCTCGGAGCCCTTCTGGCCCAGGCCGCAGCTGCGCGATGGGCCCTCGGCAGCAGCGTCGCGGCCCGCTTGTGGCGCGAGCCCGAGAAGTGAGCGCTCGCCGCCAGGAGCACGTTCCAGAGGCTCCCGCCGTTGCCGAGGAGGAGCTCGCTGTCCATGCGCTGCGCGATGTTCGAGTCGAGGCTGGAATGGCCCGCCCAGTCCAGGGGCTGCCGTGCACGGAGACTCACGAAAGCCAGCAGCGCCCCACGGCAGAGCTTCTTGGTCGAAGGCAGCACCGCGAGCCGCTCCAGCGCCGAGGGCCCCCGGACTGGTGGCACCGCAGCTGCGAGCTCCTGGGCAGGGCGGGCTCTCGCACCCTTCAGCGCCGGCGAGGCGGGCGCAGCCCGCCTCCTCGTGGCCGCGCGGGCCTGGCAGAGGAACCGCAGCGGCCAGAGCCGCCGCGCGGTCGCGCAGCCCCTCGCCAAACGGCACAGGCGCCGGGCGTGGGCCTGAGAACCATCTTGCGCGCCCGCGGCTGTGGCCGTCGGCCGGGCTGGCCTCCGATGGTATCCACCTGACGGATAGGGCCGGACCGGTGGCTGCGGAGAGCGCGCAGATCCCGCGGAGGGAACTCTGGGGGTGCCTGCTGCGAGCCCGGCCCTTCCCGACGGCTAACACCAAGGGCACGTTGTCCGTGAAGAGGAGGAAACAGGAACCGAATGCCGACGTAGACCTAAGAGATGGCGATACCCGAGAACGAGTGCCTCCCCTTCCAGGGCCAAGATGTTGGCCTGACCGTCGATGTATACGGCAGCGATCGAGCCCCGGGCCTCCTCCCGAGTGAAATGCGCTGGGGCATCCTCGAAGTCGACGGGCGGCCGAAGGCCGAGCAGTGAGGGGCCGTTCGCGTCGAACTTCTTATCGTGCTCGATGCCGACATCCCCGAAGATCGAGTGGTCGAAGCCCAGGGGGTCGTCCAGGCCAGCGGTGGTGACGTCAGTCTGTCCGATCGCGCCGACGGTGCGAGCTCTGGCTTGGGCACCCCCGTCGACCTTGTCTCCATTTTTCGGCGACTCGGCCAGTGGCGCCCACGATGTCCTCTGGGGCACGGCGAGCAACGACGCTTAGGCCCCAGGGGGGGGCGTCTGTACAAACAATGCGCTCGTGCCACGGGGCGCACAGGTCGGCCGTGCACAAGGGCAGCAGGTCGTGAATCATCTGGAGCTCTCTCCGTGCAGCCTGCCAGAGGGGCATGGCCGCGGGCCCGGCGGCCTGGGTGAAGGCGTAGGTGGCTCCCGATGCGCGCAACATCTCGCGCAGAAGCAGAAGGGCCCAGGTGATGTGGCCGGTGAGCGCCCGCACGAGGAAGCCACTGACCCGCTGGCGGCGCGGGGCGCCGCGGATGGCAGCGCGGAGACGCCGGATGTTGCGCGTCCGAAGGCTGAGCCAGCGCCTCTCGCGCAGCGACGGCCCCATGAGGTCGCAGTCCTGGGGGTGCTCCTGCAGGTCGTCCGTGATGGCCTGCAGCTGCTGGAGCACCCTGGATGGGGGGCAGCCGAAGACGAAGTAGTTGTCCGCGTAGCCGGCGCCAACAAGCGAGTCGGGGTGACTGGGGATCTGGCAGCCACTGTGGCCGCCGGCGATCAGGTTCGCCGCGGGGAGCCCCGATCGGAGCAGGGAGGTCGTCAGCGCGGTCTGGCGCAGATGCAGGGCCCAGCTGAAGCCCATCGGGAGCGCGACCACCTGCGGCAGCAGCAGCCCCTCATCAGGCGCGCCCGCCTCCACGCAGCCGACAGGCACCAGGTACTTCGCTTCGATCGGGCGCAGGGTGAAGAACTCCCACATCTCCGCCGGCACCATCATGTAGTAGAAGTCGACGTCCAAGCCGGCCGAAGCGACGCTGAAGCTGACGTCGCCGGCCTCGAGGCGGCCCCAGGCTGACGCCGATGGCAACTGGGTCCTAGGGGCCTCGGTGGAAGAGCAGGTGGCGACGCGGGTGTCGAAGATGACCCTCAACTTGCCAGACTTCTTTGGCGCAGAGAAAATCCCCATAAAGCCACGGCGCCCCTGGGCGGACGAGAAGACGAGCATGTGGCGCCCGACCATGGCGCCCAAGAACTTAGCATACTCAGCAGGCGATCGAACGAGAGCAGGATCCGTGTAGGGCCCATGCGGGCAGGCCTCAGCCTGTAGTTGGCGAGCCTCCTCCGCATCTCGAAGCATATGGCGCCTCCGCTCCCGCAACGCGGCGGCGTCCTGCTCTTCCGGCAACCCAAGGAGCGGTGCAGGAGGTTTGGACACATCAAGCCAAGAGACGAGGTCTGGCATATAGGAATGGTTGGCCCGCTGCCGTCAGGGTGCAGCGCGGGCCCGGCAAGGAGCTCCCGGAGGGCACCCTTGGGGTCGGACGCGTCATCGCGGCGCTCGTCCGGCTCGCGGCCGAGGGCGGCGATCGTGTCCCAAATGTCGCTGACGGCGCCGCGCTGCCTTGGAGTCGGACCAGCCAACTCGGGCGAGGACGAATCGCCGTATAGAGAGTTCAAAGCTTGCACGGCAGCGTTAGCACGGCGGAGCGTGTGCCCGAGAGCGTGGCCCGCCCGTCTGCGCTGCTGGGCGCTGGAGCAACCGGCCGTCGCGTCGGCGGCGGTCAGCAGCGGCAAGGGAAAGAGGTTGCGGTGGCGCCTCTCCCGGTCCGCCTGGTGGCTGGTCTGGCTCGCAACGCGGGCAGCGCTGTTAGCGCCCGCGGTGGCCTGGGGGAGCGAGGGCGGCGGCTGGCCAGGCCGACCGCTCGCAGGCATGCTAGCCATCGCCGCCTGTGGCACCGAGGCCCCTGCCCCGCCGGCCGCCGCGGCCTCCGCGCCCCCCCCCCCCCCGGCCTCGCGTCCGGCAGTCCGCTGGCGAGGGCGCGCTCCTCTCGCGCCTTCCTCCGCTCCTTCGTGGCCGCCATCTCCTCAGGCGTGCAGCTCCGCGGCGAGGTAGTCGCGGAGCGTGGGGCAGACGCAGACCGAGCCAGCGAGCAGCGCCGTGCCCATCATGGTGGTTCTGTCAGCGACGACGGAGTCGTCGGGGAAGCGGTGCCTCTCCTCCCGCGCCTGGATCGACCGCGCCACGAGCTCCAGGTGCGCGAGGTTCGTGGCGTGCACCTGGTCGTATGTGAGGGCCGTCTCGAGGATGAGACGGGGGGTCTGGTGGATCTCAACGCCCGGCTCGCTGGGGTCGAGACCTGTCTCCGCTAGCCACCTCTGGTGATGCGCCGTCGGCGTGCCACTCCGTTGGGCCATGAACTCAGCGACCCAGCGCAACGTGCGCGGCCCCCGCGCAGGCCAGTCTGGTCCAGGCAGCTCCTCCAATTGGGTGACGGCCGTGCGGACACCAATGTGGCGGATCCTGCGAGCGTCCCCAACCGCGCCGAGGACCCGGGAACCCCCGCCAGGCCCGGCCGCTGGAGGCGCGACAGGGGCGCCAGCCGCGGGCACCGCGGCCGCGAAAGCGGGGGCGCTGAGAGCACCAGGAGCAGCCAGGGCCGGGGGGGCGCCCAGGGGTGCTGCCACGGCGCCTGGCGCGGCCGCGGGCAGGCCAGCGCCGGCGCCCAGGGAAACAAGCGCGGCCGCAGGCGCTAGGGCCGCGGGCGGAAGCGCTGCCGCGGCGAGGCCGCCAGGAGCACCTCCGAGAGCAGCCGCCGGCCGTGCGAGCCCGCCGCCAGGGCCGCCAGCAGCAGGGGCAGGGGCGACGGCGGCCGCCGCGGGCGCCGCGCCCGCCGGGGCGCCAGCCCTGGCCCGGCCCGCGAAGTTGACCGCGATGGGCGCGACGGGCACCGCGCCCGCCCTCGCGTTGGCGGCCGCGCGCGCGGCGCCCACCGCGGCCGGCAGCGGGAGGTGCTGGAAGTCGTAGACCTCGTCGATCGCCATCGCGGCGGCTGGGGCCACGAGCGTGCCGAGCGGCAGCGTCGTCCACTCCGCGACGTTCGCGGCGTCGGCAAGGTTCTCCTCGTGCTTGTCGCGGTCGGGAGTGAGGGCGCCGATGACGGAGACGCCTCCTGGCACCAGCAGCCGCCCGCCTGCGGTGCCAGAACCGACGGCCACGCGCGCGATAACGGACGGCAGTGAAGTCGCCCTCGGCGAGGTCCGCCGTCTCGAGCTGATGGCGCGCCATGGCCTCATCCGCGGAGGGGGGCGGGCCGACGAGCTGCGACCTCCGCCAGCTGCGCGCGCGCGCCCTCTGAGACAAGTCCTTCAGGGGGGGATCGAGGCTCGACGGCGCGGGCGAGGCCGAGGGGGCGGGCGCCAGCCACCGCTGCGCGCGCAGCGCCGCAGCGGCGCCCAGGGCTGCGCCTCGCCCCAGCGGGGCGAGGCAATCCCCTGGCGCTGGCCACGACCCGCTCGCCCCTAGCTCCCGCGGCACGGCGCCCTCAGCGCAGGAGAACACAGGCGCGCAATGGCAGGCGCAGTCTGGACAGGGAACAGCCGAGAAGCGAACGGCGAGAGCGGTCGAGAAGCCCCTGATAAGCTCGGTGAGCAGGGGGTCCATGGGGGCCTGGGCCCCCAAAAAACTTTGAGCACAATGGCGTCGGATGGCACGCGCTCTGAGAGACGGGCTGACATCCGAGTGCGTCCGTATCCCCGACTATGCTACGCATCAAGTTGTTAAAACTCCCATATATTGTGCAACGTAGCCGGCGCCACATGTATTGCACCAAGTAGGTTGCGCTCACTACATGTCTTGCTCTACGTATAATGCCCGGCACACATTTCACCGCGCATATTGTACCACGCATACAACGCAACATAAATAGCACAACATAGAAGTGCACGCCATATCTTGCACCACATATTGCACAGATTGCTCCGCAAATTCTGCACTACGTGAAGTGCACGGCAGAGACAGCGCCACATATACAGCACCACATACATCCTCCTCTCTGAAAGATCATACGACCCCTCAGAATTAATGCCCCCTTTTCGTATTATAGATTGCATTATGGTTCTGCACCATCGTCCATCCTAAATGTGCATGCGTCTCATCCCAGCTACGCCAATCGCCCCCCCCCGCCCCCCATCCCCTGGAGAAACAATGCGAGCGCGCTCGTCCATCAATACCCATCTGTTTCCAAGAATCCCTTGCAACAGGCCGGACGAATTGCGCGCGTGCGCGTCGTCGCGCGCGCATGCCGAATCCTTCGCGCGCCTTGAGTCCCGCAAAGGTTTCAAAATCGAGTGTCCCGAACACATGTTAAAACACTTGTTTGCAACCGTAAACTTTCACACAACAAGCTTGCGCTCGGGCCCTTGTGAATTTTGACGAACGCCGTCGGTCTTCCAACATGTCCCGAACATGCTGCCGCAATGGCCTCGCCCGCGCGCGCCGACGTCGCGGGAGCGCCTTTGCGCGCGTGTTGTCGCGAGAACCCCTTGCCAAAAAACGGGGCCGAGTGCGCGCGCGCGCGTTGTCGCGCGCGCGCGTGCCGGAATCCTTCGCGCGCCTTAGGTTTCGGGGGGGGGTCAAAATCAGGTGGTCCGAACACATGGCACCACGTGGTTTTGCGACATCAATTTTCAAAAATGCCTGCGCTCGCATCCCTGCGAATTCCTAAGACAACAATGGGTTTCTGAACGTTTTAATGAAATTCTGCCAAATGGGCCTCTCGCGCCGCGCGTCGAGCTCATTCGCGCGCCCTTGCGCGCGTGCTAGGGGGAGGGCCCTTCGGGCCACTCTCGCGTGTCGGCCGCGCGCGCATGTCGAACTTGGCCCAAAACCTTCCTCGCCGACGCGAGGGCGCCGTGGTCGTTGGCGCGATCGGCAACGGCGCCGTCGCCGGCATTGCCGTCGTCGGTGTCATCATCGTCGCTACTTCCACCGCCGTGTCTACCGTTGTCGACGCTGCCGTGATAACGTGCCCGCCCAAGTCACCGACTCGCGCTGGAGTGCCCGCTGGGAAGTACCCGGCGGTCAGCGCCACCGCGGCCGCGTCGGCCGCGGCCAACTAGCTGGCCGCTTCGCGCGCGAGCATGCGCGGGCTGGCGCGGCCGCAGCGATGAAACAACCAACCCCGTGCGCTCTTTGCAATCGCCGCCGCGTGGGTTTTGCAAACCAAATTGCGGGCGGGTGGGTGGGGTGCTTGCGCGAGCAGTGGAATGTTCACAATGAGTGCATTCTTGTTTCTAAAAAGAAAAAACATCACCGCCCTGTCCGGGCCAGACTTATCGGCTCCGCTTGGGAATGTGCAATTGACATATCATTCTGCCCTATCGTCCATCCTCAATATGAACTCATATCATCCGAGCCCAGCCGGTATTGCCCCTCGCCATATTCAGCAAAAGTAATATGCGCGCGCACTTGTTTTATCAAAAGCAGCAGTTTTCACGAAACCCTGGCAAATCGCGGGGCGAAGTTCACGCGCGCGCGCGTCCTCGCGCGCGCGTGCCGAGATCCTTCAGAAACCTTAGGTTTCGTGGGGGTTTCAAAACCAAGGGTAAATTGACATATAGAAGCACAGGGTTTCTTAACGCGGGTCTTCAAAAAAAGCTTGCGCGCGCGCTCTTGCGAATTCTTTAGACAACCATCAATGTTTCCAGACCGTGCGACCAAACAAGCCTCACGCGCGCGCGTCGAAATCGTTCGAGCGTCCTCGCGCGCGTGCCGTCGCGAGAATCCCTCGCGCAAGCGGGGCGATGTGCGCGCGCGCGTGCCAGAACCCGTCGACAACCTTCGGTCTCGCGCCGATTTCGAACCCGAATGTCTCGCAACATATAGAAAACACATGGTTTCGCAACATAAGGTTGCAGAGAAGCCCGCGCTCGCGCTCTTGCGAATTCTTGAGGAAACCACGCATTTTTTACGTGTTCATGGAATTATGCTAAACGGGCCTCTGGCGCGGCATGCCGACATCACTCGCGCGCCCTTGCGCGCGTGCTCGGGTGCCGGGGGGGGGGAGTGGGGCGCGATCTGCGCGGAAGAATGCACTGCGGGTCACTCTCGCGCGTCGGCCGCGCGCACATGTCGAATTCTTTCCAGAACCTCCGTCGCCGACGCGAGGGCACCGTCGTCGTTGTCGGTGTGATCAGCATCTGCGCCCGCGCTGGCCGCGCCGTCGTCGTTGTCGACGTCGCCGCCAACGTCGCTACTATCATCGTCGTGCCTATCGTTGTCGACGTTGCCATGATACCGCGCCCGCCAAAGTCGCCGACTCGCACTGAAATGCCCGCTGGGATTTGCCCAGCGGTCAGCGCCGCCGCGGCCGCGTCGGTCGCGCCAATCTAGCTGGCTGCTGCGCGCGTGCTTGGGTTGGCGCGGCCGCCGCGATGCGCCAGCCAGCGCCAGGCACTCATCGCAATCGCCGGCGCATGGGTTTTGCAAACCATAATGCGGGTGGGTGGGTGGGATGTTTGCAAGAGCATGGGAGGTGGTCAAGCGGGGTGCAAGGTAGTCAATTGCATCGTGTCGATGGCTCCATGTGCATATATACACATATATTGCACGCGCAACAAATGTTCTCCTCCCTTCAAACTACCCCCCCCTGGGCTGGCCGGCCTTCCCCGGGATGCTGCTATTTGCGTAGGCTTTTGCCCCATCGGCTAATTCAGCCGTGGGTTCATTCCGCCCCGGGCAGTCAGGCTAGGCTGGCGTCGCCCCCCCATCCCTGTCAAATTATGTGATGCGCGCGCGTTCGTATATCGCAAATGATACGTGTGAAGGAACCCCTTGCAACAGATGTGACAACGTCGACGCGAGCGCGTTGTCGTCCGCGTTTGAAGAAAATCCGAGGGCTTTAAGAATCGAGGCCCCCGAACGTGTGTGTATATATATATATATATACACGCATGTGTTTAGCGCCGGTGGTCTTGCAAAGTGATTGTTGATGATATCTGCGCGCCTTGCGAATTTTTGCGAATATCGTCGGTTTCGCACATTCTCATCATTTGCGACTAAGCGGGCCTCACGCGCGCGTCGGAACCATTCGAACGTCTTCGCGCGCTCGCCGAGGGTGGTGGTGGTGGTGGTGGTGGGGGGTGCGATCGCTGCCAAATAATGCGCAGCGGGGCGCTCGCTCCCGTCGGCCGCTCGCGAGCGTTGAAATCCTTCCAAACCTTCATCGCCGACGCTTGGGCGCTATCGTCATCGTCGGCGTGGCCTGCATCGGCGCCGTCGTTGGCCTTGCCGTCGTCATTGTCTTCGTCGTCGCCACTGTCATTATCGTGTCTCCCGGTGTCGACGCCGCGATGCCGCGCCCGCCCGGATCGCCGTGGAACCGGGCTCGCCTGGGCCCGCCGTGAAACTGGGCGCTCAAGGCTAGCTGGCCGCTCTGCGCGCGAGCCTGCGCGCTCTTGTGCGGCCGCAGCGATGCGCCGGCCAGCGCCGAGCAGCCATCGCAATCGTCGTCGCGTGGGTTTTGCAAACCAAGTTGCGGGTGGCTGGGCGGGGCGACTGTGCAAGCTGTGGAATTGACAACCTCATGTTCTTGCCCCGCGCAGATTGCGCCGCATATCTTGCATCTAGCTTGCGTCGCGGAGCTTGCGCCGCGCGCGTTGCGCTGCGTGGGTTGCGCTGCGCGCGCATCGCCACATATGTCGTGCCACCCAGATTGCACAACACAAATTCTCCACTCTGAAAAAGAATAGACTCTACCCCCCGGGATTTTCGGCCCCTCTTTTCGCGTTGCAATCAGCGTATGACTGTGCCCCATCGTCCATCCTAAACGTGTATTCGCATCGTCCCTGCCGAGTCGGTATCCGCTACCCCCCCCCGCCATCCTCTGCAATAATGCGATGCGCGCGCGCTCGTCTATCGCGAATCATCAGAATCCAAGAACCCCGCGCAACAGAAACAGGGCGAAATGCGCGCGCTGTCGTGCGCGCGTGCCGAAATCCGTCAAAAACCTTCGGTTTCGTGAAGATTTCAAAAGCGAGTGCCCCGAACAAAACTAAGGACGCAGACGCGGACCTTCACAAAAAGCTGGCGCGCGCGCTCTTGCGAATTCTAAAGGAGACCATCGGCTTTTCAATATTATCATAAGTGCTACCAAACGGGCTTCGCGCGCGTGCATCTGTCGAAATTGTTCGAGCGCCCTTGCGCGCGCGCCGTCGCGATAATCCGTTCCAAAAACAAAATGACATCCACGCGCGCGCGCGTCGTCGCGCGTGCATGCCAAAATCAGTGAACACCCTTAGGTTTCATGACGGTTTGAAAACCGAATGTCAAACGACCAAGTAACACAACGCATGGTTTCGCAACATCAATTTTCAAGAAAGCCCGCGCTCGCGCTCTTGCGAATTCTTATGGGAAGCGCGCATTTTCTATGTATTCATGGAATTATGCAACACGGGCCTCTGGCGCCGCATGCCGACATCACTCGCGCGCCCTTGCGCGCGTGCGGGGGGGGGGGGGGGGGGCGATCCGCGTCGAATAATACTATGCGGCCCACTCTCGCGCGTCGGCCGCGCGCGCATGTCGAACTCTTTCCAGTAACTTCGTCGCCGAGGCGGGGGCGCCGTCTCGTCGCCGGTATGATCGGCATCGACGCCCGCGCTGGCCGTGCCGTCGTCGTTGTCAACATCGCCACCAAGATCGCTACTATCATCATCGTGTCTACCGCTTTCGACGTTGCCATGATACCACGCCCGCCCAAGTCGCCGACTCGCACTGAAGTGCCGGTTGGGATGTGCCCAGCGGTCAGCGCCACCGCGGCCGCGACGGTCGCGCCAAACTAGCTGGCCGCTACGCGCGCGTGCTCGGGTTGGCGCGGCCGCAGAGATGCACCAGCAAGCGTCGAGCACTCATCGCAATCGCCACCGAATGAGATTTGCAAACCAAGTTGCGGGTGGGTGGGAAGGATGATTGCGCGAGCAGTGGAGTTGGGCAAGCGCGGTGCAGGGTAGCCAACCGCACCACTTAGGTTGCACCACATACGTTGCACCACCTAGACTGGCCCACGTAAACAGCACCACGTAAATTGCCAGAGACACACAGTTTGGGCTCCTCGCTGGCTACTTGCACTACCTTCCCAATTCTCGGAACTATGTTGTCTCACGCGCCGCCATCTTTAATCTTCCCAACATATCGCCTTCTTCCTGCCACCTCCGTCTCTCCCTTTCTCTCTCTCTCTCTCTTTCTTTTTCTGTCTCTTTCTCTCCGCTCGATCCACGACGTGGACGCGTGGTGCTGGCAACACTCTCCAGCTGGGGTCGTGGTCAGGCGCTCAAGCGTGGTCCTCCTCTATCGCCTCCGCGTGTACTGCGTGCCGCAAGATTACATCATACCTCCGGTGCTACACGCATGACGTGACGTCACCGCTTCCCCGCGGCCGCTGTGCACCGCGACGCGAAGCCCTTCCCATCACCCCTTGCTAGGTGTTGCCAAAGCAAGATCAGCAAACATCGAATCGGAACATCGGATGCAATCAGAATGTAAGCCGGACCGGGCCACATCGGCACGAAATCGGACTCGAATCGGATCGGCCGCGGAAGGGTACACACCAGCGCCGTGCAAACATCGGGCCGCATCGGATCGCCGGAACATCGGAATCGGATCGGATCGGACCAGCAGGACTCGAGCTCGGCTCGAATCGATCGGATCGTCTCCGTGCCTGCAGAGGTGCCCCTGTCCCAGAGTGCCCCCCAGGATTTCCAGAGAGGCCCCCACGGCTTCCAGGGGCACCCCTCACGAGGCCCACGGGCCCCCTCAGGGGCTCCCACGAGGGGGCGAAACGCCGGGGACACCTCGGGCTGGGGACACGCGCGACCACCGCCAGCCTTCCCTTGCCTCCGAGCTCCCTGCGCGCGTGGCTGCGGGCCCCGCGCTACGGAACCGAGGGGCAACGATGGGGGGGGCACTGGCCAGGGTTAGGTCGGGCATAACCTCCTACAGGCGGGCCGATTTTGGGCGCAACATCAAACATACATTTTTTTATATTATTATTATTAGTAGTATTATTATTATTAGTACTATTATTATTATTATTATTATTATTATTATTATTATTATTATTATTTATTATTATTATTATTTTTTTTATTATTATTATTATTATTATTATTATTATTATTATTATTATATATATATTCACTTTCGAATATTCCTCCTGTAGAGAGACAGGCCCGACGCAAGACCGGGGGAGGGGGCGCATCAACCCGCAGATCGGCGATCGACGGCCGATGGGGTCGGCGGTAGGCCCCCCGACGGCGACCCCGCGCGGTCCCGAGCGGGATCCGAGCCTGTTCCCCTAAAGACTGCTTTTGTCGGGGATGGACAGACCCGCCCCCCTCACATCCCTGCTGCCGCCAGGAGCGCTCCGCTGGGGGGAACATGTTGATGGACCCACCTTCCACCACCGCTGCCATGTGCAGGCGAGGGAGGACGAGGAGGAGGGCCTCCTCATCCTCCCTTCTCCCCCGTCCTACATTCGGGGATAGACAGACCTCCCTTTGGTAAAACGTGGTTTCGTGAAAACGACCGGAGGCCCAAACCTGGCGGGCGCAGGCCTGGAAAATAACGGCCACGGCGCCCTCTCGAGAACCGAAAACGGACAATTCACTAATCGACGTGTCACTGTTGGGGGTTCTGTCCACCCCCGATTTTGGAGGAAAAATAAAACATAATCAAACAAATGCTCACACAGTGCCACGAATAATAACCCAAATCGTCCCCAGACCATTTTTTTCACCACTCTCGAATACTCCTCCTGCAGAGGGACGCGCCCGCCAGAAAGGATACTGTCAGACTCCAATCGGCGATCGCTGGGCGATTGGGCTCCGATGCGTCCCCCCTGGGCCTGCCCCCCCCCTCCACTCGTTGCCCCGGATGAGCCCCGCGCGGGGTCGGCCCGTGGCGCTCAGAACCCGAAGAAGCCGCCGCCGCCACCGCCGCCCTGCTGCTGGACGTCCTCCTGCGCCGCCGGAAATGCTTCTCCCGCCCTTGTCTCCCCGCGCTGCGCCGCAGGGTGTGAATCGGCACGGAAATGAGCGGGCAGTGACTCCCACTCCTCCTTCTCCTCGTCGTCGTCCTCCTCCTCCTCCTCCTCGTCCTCCTTCTCCTCCTTCTCCTCCCCCTCCTCGCGCCTCCTCCTCCCTCACGCCTCCTTGTCGTCGTCGTCGTCCTCCTCCTCCTCCTCCTCCTCCTCCTCCTCCTCCCTCCCTTCACCCTCCTCCCGCCACTTGCTCCCCCCGCATCATGCGTGTAGATAACTCGGCAACAAAAGAAGTGGACAACGGCTCATGCGTGGACTACGGTCGGGAACTCTTAGTTGGCGTGTCGCGGCGGCAGCCCTGGTGATACGCCATGCCATCAAAGCGGACAGCGTGTCGCTCCGCTCCGCGGGGCGGCTGGCTGGGCAAAGCTCGGGACGTGACGTTTGGGGACTGGGAAATGGACAGCGTGTCGCGCCGAAGCGTGGTGGGCCAGAACCGGCGGGGCGACACGTGAAACCAAACTTCCTGACCGCAATCCAGCTCAGCGCAAACCAGGCTCAGCCAATTGAGAAAAAACCGCGCTGCAGTTCCTGGAGGGCCTCCCGAACCCAACTCGGCCAACATGTCAGGCCACCTCCAGTGCCGCGAGGCCGCGAGCAGCTTCCAAACTCAGCTCGGCCCAAATCGGGCTTTGCAAGGTCCTGAAAGATGCGGCGCTCTGGCTGGGCACCGTTTGCGCTGAACCCTGTTTCCTGCCTGCTGGATGGTGGGCTGCGCTCGCTTCCTGGACGAGGCCACCACAGCAGTTACGCTTCGTTTCAGCTCCGTCGCAAAAAAACACATGGAAAACGCATCAGAGTAGGGAGCCCGCCGGGCCTCCGCAAAGATAAAGTCAAAGTGGCTACACATACAAGAATCATGCTTGGCTCCAGCAGCGGCTCCACAACAACGTCGAAACGTATGCCGACGCTCGCGCTGGCAAGCTGAGTATGACGGCGATTGGGAATAGGGCTGCTGACAAGCGAGCCAATGTTCGACCACTTTTGCCTCCAAGTTTCTGCCTCATGGCCTCCCACGGTGAAATTACCCCGACATGGGTAAAACATATGGAGTGGTAGCAGAGATCCCGCTGCAACGACCTGGTGCTAGAACATTGCTGCTGCCAAGTAGGTGACACATGATGCCGAATGGATGCAACAATGAATGGTATCACCTGCGCACCGGTCCTGCTTGCTAACGTCCTACCTCTCTCCCGCTTGCTTTATTCCCCACTGAAAGGGTCCTAGCGGAGATTGAAAGATTAGGCGAAAATTCCGGGCCGATTTCGGTGGGCGGCGGGGTTCCTAAATTCCTGGTTCCGGGTTCCCTGGTTCCCGGTTGCTGGTTCTGGGCCGATTTCGGTGGGCGGCGGGGTTCCCAGTTTTCTGGGTTCCCGGATTCCTGGTCGATCTCCTTATCGATCGGTCTCACCATCGCTCTCATTACCCACCTCTCTCTATCAATCTACCTATTGACCTCACGATCGATCTCACAATCGATGTCACAACCAATCTCACGCATTGCACGAGCGATCTTACGATCGGTCTCACTATCGATCTCATTGAACCGACTTCACTATCGCTCTCACGATCGACCTTACTATCGTCCCCGCTATCGATTCCACTGTCGATCTCACGATCGATTTCTCTGTCGATCTCAATATCCATATCACTAATTCTCAAACCATCCACTGATTGGGGTTCTTTTCTGGTGTAGTTAATATAAATGCATTGTTGCTTATCTCTCTTTCCTTACCTCCTCCTTATCCTTGTTGTCGCAGCTAGCCTCCATTGCTGCTTCTCTCTCTTGGTCGCCTGCTTTCTGCGTGTCGCGCTGCTCTTGCTTTCTGCGCCCCCCCCTCAACCCCGCTCGCCACTCCTTCTCTGATCTTCCCAGAGCCTAGCGGCGACTCCTGAAAAGGAGGAGGAGGAGGAGGAGGAGGAGGAGGAGGAGGAGAAGGATCAGGAGGCATGAGGAGTGGGAGGTGGGGGAGGAGGAGGGGGAGGAGGAGAAGGAGGAGAAGGAGGAGGAGGAGGAGGAGGAGGAGGAGGCGGATCAGGAGGCATGAGGAGTGGGATGAGGAGGAGGAAGGAGGAGGAGAGGAGGAGGAGGAGGAGGAGGGGAGGAGGAGGAGGAGGAGCAGGAGGAGGAGGAGGAGCAGGAGGAGGAGGAGGAGGAGGAGGAGGAGGAGGAGGAGGAGGAGAAGCTGTCGGACCAATCGCAGCCACGCCCGCGGCGAAACTGCAGGTGCCCACGCCGAGGTGGGATGAATCCCTCGCGGAGCGGACGCCTGAACGCGAGGCGCGCGGGCAGCGGGCGGCACGCCGAACACAGAGCCCGCACTCACGAAGCCTGCTTCCCGTGCGTGACCGCCTCCTGGAAGTGGCGAGGCGGCTCAGCGCCTCTCTGATCTGCTTGCAAGCTCTGTCTGCCTGCCTGGCTCTTCCCCGATGTCCACCGTGCTTGTCTCGAGGGGCTCCGTGCTGTCAGGGCCGACGTCCCGACCCTCCCCGAACTCGAGCGAGGCCCACTGCTGGAGGGCCCCTGCCCTCCTCGAGGCGGTCTTGCTGTCTGCCTCCTCCTGGTTGCTCCCCGCCTGCTGCGGGCAGATCCTGCCATGGTCAGCCTGCTGTATCAGGTCCGTGGTGCGCCATCTCGTTGCAAGGAGGCGGCTGGCAGGCGTTGGGCGCATCGGGGCCCTCGGTAAGTGCGCGCTCTCCCAAACCACGGCGTCCTCAGGCGCCTGGCCAAAATGGCTGTCAAGAGGCTCCGAGCCCTTGTCGCTCTGGGTGGCCGCAAGTACCTCTGGCACCACAGGGCCTGCGATGTTGAAGCTCTCCAGCGCGATGGAGGTACCCAGCTCAGCAGGGCCAGGGTTCATACACCCCTTCGGGGGGTTTCGCCAAGCCCAACCACAAGAATTCGCCGAATCCTGTGCCCTGCCTGCTCCCGGTCGTGGAGCAGCTGCTGCTGGGTGGGCAGCTCGGGCTTTGCTGGCGCTGCGTGGCCAGCTTGCCGCGCCTCGGCTTCCCCGCAGGCTGGTGCCGGCCTGGCTCGCGCAGCGGCTCGTGGGGACGGCCTTCCAGCGCCGTCCTCCTCTCTGTAGCCGTCCACGAGCGTGTGCTTCACCATGCTGTCGAAGGCGAGGTGAGGGCACCTCGAGTGCGCGGCGCCGCGGGAGGCGGCATCGGGGACTGCTTGCCGCACGTGTACGTGCGGTCTATCTTCTGGAGGCGGTCCTGGTAGATTGTGTTGCCGCACTCGCTGTGCACCAGTGCACTCTGATCCTCACCTTCTTACTCCTCTCGTGCTTGGCCGACGGCTCTGCTGCGTTGCTCGTCGCTTTGGTGGTGGTGCTCTTCTGCCTCTGCACGCAGTCCTGCTCCGGGAGATGCCATGGAGGCGGCACTCCCGCCCACTTTGGCTTGGCTGGCGGCCTGGCCTTCTCGTCCACCTCTGGGGCCGCGGGGACAGCGCTCACGGGCATCTGTGGGGTCACTGGGCCGGCGCTTCCATCCGCTGCGTCCCCGCTGTGCCCATGGTGCCGCGCCAGGCTCCTCAGCACTCTCGGGTGGTCGTAGTTCGCGGGGAGCGCGGGCGTGGGCGGCCGAGAGTCTGCAGCAGCGGGCTGCTCTCGCCACCTCGTGCGCGCATTGAACCTTGACCTCGGTCGCGGCATGCTTCTTCAGGGCCAGCTGGTCGATGGTGGTGCCAGCAACAGGAGCACGGCCAGTTGGCACAGAAGACGTGAAGGCGACTGCTGAGACAGACTGCGCCGAGGGGTATGGCATCGCCCCCACAGGCTGGCTACTCCAATCGCCCCCCAACGAGCCAGTCGTGCCCCGTCGCGTTCACTTGACGCAATGCCTTAGCCATGTGCGCCATGTTCGCGGGGGCCCGTCTTATCCTGATCGGCTGGGTGGAAGGCCCCGGCGACGCGCCCGCCTGGCATTCCCCAATGCATAGGGGATAAGAGGAGGCGCCCCGGCACGGTCTCGGGGACCTCCAGCTCTGGCAACGTTCTCATGATGTCTGTGCGGACCAATACGGCGGCGCCTGCAGGCGATCCGTGACCACCCAAACCTATCACCGTGCAAGGCGGAGGCCCCGTGGCGATGCTAGCCATGGTCCCGAGCACGGGCCTGGGCCTGGGACATTCTCTCTGCAAGGGCTCCCAACTTGGCGCTTCGCGCTGCGCGAAGCGCGAAATGCGAATAACTTCGCGCTCTCGCGCCGCCCTCCCAAAGGGAGAATAGGAGGACGAGGAGGAGGGGGAGAAGGAACGAGGACCGCGAAGCGCGAAGCGCGAATAACTTCGCGCCCTCGAGGGCGCCCTTGCATCAGGTGGTGCTCCTGAACCAGCGCCACTCTGGCCGACGCGAGGCGCAGGCAGTCCTGCGGGCAGCCGCGGGAGGAACGTTCGCGGCGGCGATTCCTCCAGGTGCCTGCTCCAGAACTTCTCGGCCCGAACCTGGTCTGGCCCCCGCTGCTGTGGATGACGTAGCCGCGTGCCGACCCGCGTCCTTTCGGGCCGCGTTTGGGCCACGTCGCCCCGCGAATCCCATCGGGAATGATTCCAGCTGCAGCGCAGTTGGAAATAGCGACCCCACCCGCGACGCTGCCAAGGTGAATGAGGCCCAGCCCGATCTGCGCCGACGAATCGGCGTCAGCGTTGCGGGGGCAGCTCTGCCCAGTCAAAGCCGATTTCGCTCTGGTCCGTCTTGAAGCCGAACGCGAGGCCGCCGATCCCGAAGTGAATTTTCCGCCCGACGTCGCAGATGGCCCCTTTCTGCTCATGGCCGCAGGTGTCGTCGTCGCGCTTCCTGCAGCCGACATGGGCCGCCCGACGCCAGCCTCGGCACTTTCAAGCACGGGCTGCTGCGGTGCCGAACTGTGCGACGATGCCTGGGCCTTCGGCAACATGCTGACGACCATGATGGTGAACTCAAGCGACCCGAGCCTTCTTCGTGGCCTGGTGGAAGACCGTGTATGAGTTCGCATGTCGCGTGGCTTTCTGGCGTACCATGGAATCCAATTCGTCATAATAACCCCCAGCCAATAATTCCCTGGCATCATCAAGATCAGCATCGTCCATATCGAGATCTGGGACAGCTGGCTCAGCTGCCGCAGCACTGGGCGCTGAGCGCAGTGCGGCGGGGGGGGGGGCGCACGGCTTCGGCAGTTCCTGGGCTGCCGATCGCGCCGCGTGCTTCGTCTGTGCCTCGCGCACCTTGTCGAAGAACGGGGCCACCTGCTGCAGGCACAGCTCGGATAGCTCTGAACCAGCACACAACTCTTCCAGCACGTCCTGCATCTGCGCGAGGTTGGACTGGACAGCTTCCAGCACTGCTTCCGAAGAATGTGCTGGCTCTGGTGGTGGTCGGCTCTGTGGCAACTGCACCTGCTCCCGCTCGAACTCCAGCTTGGCTGCCGCCGTCGCCTTGATCCACTCCCGCAGTTCCGCGACACGTGGCACGTTATCTTCGATCGCCGCCTGCTCGCCTTCGAAACTAGACTGGAGCCTTTCGATCACCCCTTTCCATTGCCGCGACCTTGTTGACGAAACCGTGCTGCCTGGACGGCAAAAGCGTCGGTGCCTCCCGCATCTCATGACGCGTGGTCTCCGTCCGTGCAGCACGTTTCCGGTAGCCCGGGTCCGAGAAGGGCGACCTGCTCCCTGGCTTTTGCAGTGGCGGCAGCAGCCGTCTGCAGGAGCCCCGCCACCTCCGCCTCCTGCTGCAGCTTCTCATGGCTTGTGGCTTTGCTCGGATTGGCGGGTTGCTTGGATCCCCCACCATCGTGCACGGCCTCCTCGTCCTTGCGCAGCTTTGCCTCCAGGGAAAGGATGCGCTTCAGCATCTGCTACAGCTCCTTATCATTATCCTTGTCTTGAGGAGACGTGAGCAGGAGCAGGCGTGAGGAAGGAGGAGGCGTGATGGTGATGGTGATGATGACGATAATGATTGGGAGGAGGAAGTGGAGGGTGAGGATGAGGAGGGGGATGATGAGGAGGCGAGGAGGCGAGGAAGAGGAGGATACGGCGGCGGGCCAGTCCTCCCCGGGGCTCCAGTCCGAGTAGGCGAAATTGACCCGCCGCTTGAACTCGAAGCGGATCTTCTTGCCCTGCACCCCACCCCCCTCCTCCTGCCTCCTGCAGCCGCTCCTGGGCAACGAGATCGCCCGAGAGGACGCCAGGGGGCAGCGTGTCACGAGGAAGCCAGAGGGCACATGGCACAGCAAGCCGGGGGTTAGGAAAACCTGAGGGGCCCTCGTTTTTGCAGGGCTGACCTGCTTATAGCTCGTCTGTCTCCCCAGGGCAGCACCGGGCGTGATCGGGGGGGCGGGCGTCGCGCTGATCACGTCACGGCGGGGGTGCACCGGGAGCGCCACAACATGCACGCGAGCGCCGCGCTATCCCTGCGAGTACTACGATAGCCTGCGACGCGACCACCGACGTGCCTGAAGCCCATGATTGCGAGCCACGCGCAACCTGCGAGCATATGCAATGCGCCGGTGGGGCCACAACGGCCCGCGAACGAGGTCACGTGCCTGCGAGCACCACGGTGCGCTTGCGTCTGGGAGTGCCTGAAGATACGTACGAACAGCTAGAGTGTAGGTATGGACCTGGTAGACATGATTCGGCTCATTGCATGGGGCTTGCTGACAGTAGTCATGAATAGCGGACGTTACGCCTGCGCGGACCAAAACGCGCGTGTACACCACAATGCGTGTGTACACCACAGATCGTGATGCGGCTGCATGTGTGGACCACAGCGCCGGCGTACATCATGACGCATGTGTTCACAGCAGCGCGTATGTACACCACAGCGTCCATGCACACAGACACACCAATGAACGCGTACATCGCGGCGCCCTTGTACACGCAGCAGCTTGTGCATGCACTACAAAGCCCGCGTACAACACGATGCTTGCACAACCACAACAGCCGTGTGCACCACAACGCCTGGTGCCTGCGTGCACCACGGTGGCTGTGTACACCACAAAGCCTGTGCACACCCCCAGGGTCCTGACGGGGCCCAAACTCTGGAAAATCATGTTCGGCCCGAAGCTCTCGTTTTTCCCCTGACAATGCTTGCAATTGGGTGTTCTTACTTCTTCGAAAGAACTAAGCCTGCGGGTCGCTCTGGCCGCAATGTCGCCGCTGTCGCCGCCTCGTCGCCGCCTGCCGCCTCGTCGCCGCCCGCTTTGTCTTGCTTCGCATGGCTTTGCGTTGCTCTGCATTGCTTCGCATTGCGTTGCATTGCGTTTCACTGCGTTGCGCTGCGTTGCTTTGACTTGCGCCACCAAAAATGCACCACATGGAATGCACCACATTGATTGCTCGACCTAGATTGCACCGCATGAATTGCAAGAACCACGGTTTGAGGTCCAAGCCTCAGCGCAAGGCAGCGCCTACATAGATCACAGCGCTGGCAGCTACGAGCGACGCGTTACTAGCGCCACACCAGTACCTCTGAGCAACAAGGCGGCATTGCACCCCTGAGAGCAGCACAAGCGCGCGAAAGCAGCTTTACCTCGCGAATGTCATAGCATGCCTGTGAGCACCACAGCGTGTGAACACCACAATCGCCTGCGAGCGCCTGGTCGCCACGGGGCGACCGCCGTGACGTGATCGGGGGTGGTGGGCGGGGGGGGGGCGAAGCCGATCACGCCCGTTATCGCCTAGATGGGGAAACACTGGCTCTTACCGTGAGGAAGTTTGTTTGTTGTTTCCTCTCATGCTTTTCCCCATTACTCGGGGGGATCAGGCTTCCCCCTCCACCCCCTTGTAGGAAAGGCCCAGAGGATGATGTTGCTGATGATGATAATGGTGATGATGATGCTGCTGCTGATGATGGCGACGACGACGAGGATGATGATGATGATGGTGCTGCTGCTGCTGCTGCTGCTGATGATGATGATGATGATGATCATGATGCTGATTATGATGATGATGAAGCGGAGCAGTAGTAGTAGTAGTAGTAGTAGTAGTAGTAGTAGGAGGAGGAGGAGGAGGAGGAGGAGGAGGAGGAGGAGGAGGAGGCACAGGCGAGGAGGGGACGGCAAGGATTGGGTTGGGAGTCGCAGCGAAGGTCTCAGCCTACCCCTCCCGCTCCAATGCGTCGGGAGGGAAGCCGTCGTTGATCGCCTCCGCGCTGGCGGCGAGGGCGTCCTGGGCGCTGGCGGGGGTCAAGAAGTGCGGTGCCCGTCCCTTCCTGCGACCTCTCCCGGGAGGAGGAGGGCCAAGATGCCCCCAAGACGCCCCAAGAGAGCCGCAAGAGCCTTCCCAAGAGGGCTCCGAGATGCCAACATTATGGATTTACCACATGTTTTCAATGACTTTGGGGTCCTCGACTTTTCGAGCTCCCGACGTTCCACGACGGCCCAAGAGGCTCCCAGGACCGCCCTGAGAGGGCGTCAAGGTTGCCCCAGAGGCGCCCAAGACGGGCCAAGAGGGCCCAAAGACAGCCCCAAGAAGGGCCCGAGCGGGGGAACACGAACCGAACACCCTACTCTTCCGCCCCAAGAAGCCCCCCAGGAGGCTCCAAGGATGCCCCAAGATGCCCCCATGAGGCCCCCGACTCTTCCGCCCCGAAGACGCCCCCAAACGGCCCACAAGAGACCTCCAAACGGCCCCCAAGAAGCCCCCGAGAGGCCTCCTGCGACATCCCAACGAACTTCCGCACGCGTTGGCGTCTGCCCTCGCTGCCGACCCAAGCCCGCTTCCTTGTGGACGCGAGCATGCCTGGGACCTCTACCAGTCCCCAGGGGCTTCCTCCTCCTCCTCCTCCTCCTCCTCCTCCTCCTCCTCCTCCTCTCCCTCCTCCTCCCTCCCTCCCTCTCTCCCTCCTCCTCTTGTTCTCCTCCTCCTCCTCATTCGCCTCCTCCTCCTCCTCCTCCTGATCCGCCTTCCTCTCCTCCTCCTCCTCCTCCCTCCTCCCTCCCTCCCTCCCTCCCTCCCTCTCCCTCCTCCTCCTCCTCCTCCTCCTCCTCCTCCTCCTCCTCCTCCTCCTCCTCCTCCGAAACAAGGGGTTACGGAGTGGCCGAGTCCCGAAAAAGGTCGTCGGTGCATTATCGATGCCCCGGCGATGCATCGGCGACGCCAGCGTGGAGGAAATCGGGTTCCACATCGAGCCGCCCGCATCGCCGAGGCGTCGGCGATGCGGCGCAATCCTCCGATCCCATCTGCTCGGACCACCTTTGGGAGGCCCAGGGCCCCCCCCTCCGCCCAGAAGAACCCAAAGGAAATGCGGGGGCCCCCGGTGCTCGTCCGAAGAGGGAGCGGCCCGGCGCCTTCAGGGGCTTCTCGCGGCCGTCTTGCCGGCCCTGGCGCAGGAAGGTGTACTCGACCTGCCCGGAGGAGGAGGAGGCGGGGGGAGGAGGAGGAGGAGGAGGAGGAGGAGGAGGAGGAGGAGGAGGAGGAGGAGGAGGAGGAGGAGGAGGAGGAAGGAGGAGGAGGAGGAGGAGGAGGAGCAGGAGGGGAGGGAAGGAGGAGGAGGAGGCGGGGGGAGGAGGAAGAGGAGGGGGAGGAGGAGGAGGAGGAGGAGGATGAGGAGGAGGAGGAGAAGGAGCATGAGGAGGGGAATGGGGGAGGAGGAGGAGGTGGAGGAGAAGGAGGGCGAGGAAGAGGATGACCAGTGTAAACCCAAGAGCCACCAATCATGTCGGAATGAACCCTCCTTCGAGCTCCTCTTTCATAGGCTCTTACAACGGTTCATCTCCACTGAGGGAACTGCCTCGTCGGAAGGCAATGTTCTCGGGATTCCAACGCCATGGATCAAGCTGACTGTTGCGTCTTGACGAGCCTACATCGTGCCAGAACGCCATTCCTGGGACTTCAACACCGCGAATCAACATAACTGTTGTGCCAGCAAAATCTTGAATCTTTCCAAAACGCAATTTCTGGTACGCTGATCCTGGAATTCAGTGACAACTCTTGTAAATTGTATCAGCGAATATGAGCGGCGCTCTAGCGAGAGCCAACATTGTGAAACATAACCGCCCTCAATCCGTGAAGCTCGTGCAAGTGTGAAAAACGGATGCACGCAACGCTAAGGCGAGAACCACATTTTGACAATCACCCGTCCTCAATCCGTGAAGCTCTTACATGTTTTTCAAAGCTAATGTGCGCGGCGCTCTAGCGACAACCACATTTTGAAGCATAAGCGCCCTCAGTCCGTGAAGCTCTTGCACAGTGTTATAACGAATGTGCGCGGCGCTGAAGCGAGAACCACATTTTGAAAAGGAGCCGCCCTCAATCCGTGAAGCTCTTGCAATTTTTCCCAACCATGCTGTGGTGTTGGGTCCTCGTTTTGAAGAGACCTCCCTCCTCCTCCTCCTCCCCTCCTCCTCCCTCCTCCCTCCTCCCCCTGCTCCCTGCGTTTCATATACCCAATACGGCGTTTCGCGGCCCCATAGGGAGCCCCACCGAAGGTCCCAGTGCTGCCAGCCGCATGCGTCCCGCACACCCAGTACAGCGTTTCGTGGCCCTCCTCCCCCTGCTCCTTGCGTTTCACCCAGTACAGCGTTTCGTGGCCCCATAGGGAGCCCCACCGAAGGTCCCAGTGCTGCCGCCCGTATGCGTCTCCCCCACCCAGTACAGCGTTTCGTGGCCCTCCTCCCCGTGTACCTTGCGTTTCACCCACCCAATGCATCGTTTCGTGGCCCCATAGGAAGCCCCACCGAAGGTCCCAGTGCTGCCGCCCGTATGCGTCCCGCACACCCAGTACAGCGTTTCGTGGCCCTCCTCCCCGTTTACCTTGCGTTTCACCCACCCAATACAATGTTTCGTAGCCCCATTGGGAGCCCCACCGAAAGTACCAGTGCTGTCGCCCGCATGCGTCCCGCACACCCAATACAACGTTTCGTGGCCCCACAGGGAGCTCCACCGAAACCACCAGTGGGACCGTCAGCATGCGTCCCGAAACAGATAATTTGGCATTTTGGCCCACACAGTACAGCGTTTCGTGGCCCCACAGGAAGCTCCACCGAAGGCCCCAGTGCCGCCGTCCGCATGCATCCCGAAAACACACTGTGGCATTTTTACCCACCCAATACAGCGTTTCGTGGCCCCATAGGGAACCCCACCGACGGCCCCAGTGGGACTCTCCGCAAGCGTTCCGAAACACCCAATGTGGCACTTTCATTCACCCAGTACAGTGTTTCGTGGCCCTATAGGGAGCTCCACCGAATGCTTCAGTGCCACCGTCCGCATGCGTCCCGAAAGCCCAATGTGACATTTTCACCCGCCCAATACAACGTTTCGTGGCTCCATAGGGAACCCCACCGAAGCGCCCAATGGGTCCGCGTGCGTCCTGGAAGCTTCATTTGGCATTTCCTCCCGCCGACAGAGGCGAAGGAGGAACCCGACGTCACCAGCTGCCGTGGTGAACCCGCTGGAGGCGCGTGCGAGAAGGAAGGGCAGTGGCAGCAGGAGGAAGCCGCACATTCTAATAATACTGGCAATAATAATGTTAACAATAATAATAATGGTATGACTAATAATAATACTAATACTAATAGTAATAATAATATAAATAATAATACGTAACACCCCGCAGTTGCGGATAAGAGTGAGGGGGCGGCGAAGACGTCGTCAGTCTGCGAGGCTCTGAAGAAGCCCGCAGCATGCGCCTAACTTTTACAAATTATGCAGTGAGCTCGCCGCATGCGCCGATTTCTTCATTAAAGCAATGTGGGTGGATCGCGGGGTGGGTCGCGGGTGGGTCGCGGGCCGGGTCGCGGATGGGTCGCGGGTGGGTCGCGGGGTGGGTCGCGGGGTGGGTCGCGGGCGGGTCGGGGGGGGGACGACGGCAACAACAACGACAGCAAACATAATCCTCCCCGCGGATTTCTTCTTCAGCCACGCACCCGGGAACAAATCATGAGCGTTCGGCCCCCTCACTCTGACTAAGAATAAGAAGAATAACAAAACAGAGGAGAATCATAAGAAGAAGACGCCCGACGCCATCAGCTGCCACGGTGCTCCCGCCGACAGCGCGCGCGAGAAGCTGGCGGCACAGCGGCAGCGGCAAGCCACGGCGAAGAGGAGGCCCGATGCCATCAGCTGCCGTGCAGCTGCTGGCGGCCCGCACGGGGAGGCAGGACGGAGGCAGCAGCAGCCGGCACTCGACCGGAGCCGCGGGAGGCGCCCGCGTGCGTGCCTGGCCGCCGTCGGCCGCTGAAGGTCGCCAGGCCGTGCGTGGCTGGCTTTAGGTCGGGCATGCCCCCCTATAGGGCGGGTCTTGGGCGAAAAATGATAAATAATCAAGCGTATTCGAACATTGTAAAACATACTCAGAACATCGTCCCCAGACTTTTTTTTTTTTGTTTTTTGTTTTAAATCGTATTTTTGGATTTTCCTCTCGTAGAGGGACAGGCCCGACTCAAGGTTGGGTGGAGGAGGCGTGGCCTCCTCGCGCAGGTGGGCGCAGCGCGCCACTGCGGGACACCCGTCCACACCGTGGCCATCCACGACCGGGTGTTGGACGTGGTCGCCGCAGGCGGCCAGGTTGGACCCCGCGTGTGCGAGAAGGGGGAGGCGAAGACAGCGTCCGACACCATCAGCTGCAGCGCTGGGGTCAGGGCGGCGTGCGAGAAGGGGGAGGCGAAACGTGGGCCCAGAGAGGAGTGCGGGAAGCGGAAGGCGGAGACAGAGCCCGACGGCATCAGCTGCAGCGCTGGGGAAGGCGGAGACAGAGCCCGACAGTATCACCTACAGCGCTGGCACCAGGGCATGCGAGAGGGGACAGGCGAAGCTGGAGCCCGACACCAGTAGCCACAGCACTGGGAACAGCGCGTGCGAGAAGTGGGAGGCGAAGATAGAGTCCGACATCATCAGCGACAGCGCTGGGATCAGGGCGTGCGAGAAGGGGAAGGCGAAGCTAGAGCCCAGCGGAAAGTGCGAGAAGTGGAAGGCGAAGAGAAAGCCCGACATCATCAGCTACAGCGCTGGGATCAGGGCATGCGAGAGGGGGCAGAGGCCGCCAGGAGTGAGGGCGACCAGCCCAGAAGGAACGAGCAAGGCGATGTGGGCCGCGCGGCGGGCAGTCGCCGACACGTGGCTGCGGGGTGAGCCGAAGCCCGCAGCCGCCGCCACACGTGGCGCTGGACCTCCGAGCACGGCGTGCGAGAAGGTACGACAGCCGAGGAAGGAGGCGGCGAAGGTGAAGCCCAACGCCACCAGCTACAGCGCGGAAGGCGCCGAATCCCGCCGCGAGAAATGGTTGGCGAAGCGATTCGGGCGCGGCGGGACGAGAGCCGCCAAGGTCCTGACACCAGACGAATGGTTGTTTGGGCCCGGCGGAGCGTGAGATGGTGGACGGAGCCGCGCGCGGACGGCGCGGGCGGGCCCGGGCACGAGGCCTCCCTGGTGGCGGAAATGGCAGCCGCGCCACGCAAGGGAGCCCCGAGGAGCAGCAGGGCGCTGCGCCGCGCTGAAGGCCAACCTGGATAATGGGCGGCCTGGCGCGCGGCGAGAGCGCCGCGGGCCCCGCGCGCGCGCTGCGCGCGTGCGGGCGCGAGCAACGCAGCAGGCGGATGGAAAGGGCTGGAAAGGGCTCCTCCTCCTCCTCCTCCTCCCAATCCTCCTCCTCCTCATCTCCTCCCTCCTCCTTCTCCTCCTCCTTCTCCTCCTCCTCCCCCTGGTCCTCCTCCTCCTCCTCCTCCTTCTCCTCCCTCCCTCATTCCCTCCCTCCACTCCACAATTACTCAATATGAAAATACTCTCCCTCTTCCCCTGATGGCGTCCGGGTGATGGCCGCGCACCCTCCGCGTACTGTTTTTTAACACACAGGATGCCCGGGAAATCCCGGGAAACGACTCTCGCTGAGGCGCCGGCGTCATTTTCGGGCCGAACGCCCCCCGCGTACTATTTTTTTACACGCAGGATTCCCGGGAAACGGGTTTTCGCCTGCGTTTTTTTTTCAAAATGATGCTCTCGCTGAGGCGCCGGCCTCATTTCTGCTCCCGAATCGTTCCGAATCGTGCTCCCGCTGCAGCGTGGGCCTCATTTTCGGATCGGTGTTTGGCCTCCGTCGTTCAGGATGGCGTTCTCGCCCCAGCGCGGGCCTCTTTCTCGCGCGCCCATCCGCCCGCCACCACCGCGCCGCACCACCCACCACCACCACCACCACCACCACCACCACCACCACCACCACCACCACCACCACCACCACCACCACCACCACCACCACCACCACCACACCACCACCACCAGCAGCACCAGCACCAGCACCAGCACCACCACCAGCACAGCACCAGCACCAGCACCAGCACCAGCACCAGCACCACACCCACGCACACACGCACGCACGCACGCACGCACGTGCACCACCACCCACTACGCACGCGCGCGCGGAGCCACAGGTCCGCTACGACACGCGTCCGCGGATAGAGAAAATCAGCGCCATGGTAAGGGATGGGAGGGAGGGGTAGGACGTCAGATATGACGCGAGCGCACCTAGCTTGTCCCCCCCCCCTCCCCTCCCCTCCCCATCCCCCTCCCCCTCCCCTCCCCCTCCTCCTCCTCCTCCTCCTCCTCCTCCTCCTCCTCCTCCTCCTCCTCCTCCTCCTCCTCCTCCTCCCTCAAGCGCAAATCGGCTCGAGCGCATCATTTTGATAGCGGTCTCGAGTTGAGGCCTCTCACTTCCTCGTAGTGGTTGGGGGGGCATCGGGCTTCCCGCATCAGAGTGTGGTCAGTCCCGTTGGCAAAGAGAGGTGGGACGGCTGCGCGATGTCGTCGCGAGGCCCTTGTTCCACGTCCAGGGCCTGCGGCACGAGCGAGTAAAATGGCGCGTTCGTGAAGGCGCAGATGAAGTGTAGGAAGTGCAACAGGCCAGTCAAGTTGCACAAGCCTCGGAACACGTGGGCTGCGGCCAACGCGTTGGTGCAGGAGCTCGGCATTACGGGCGACGGCGCTGGCGCAGGCTCGGGCCCAGGTGGAGCGGCTTCTCAGGAAGTCATCGACCTCACATGGGACACGGAGTTCTTCGCGTCGCTGGACAGCGTCGCGAGGGGCACGAGCAGACGGCGCTGAAGCAGTTCAGTTCGAGGCCGACCTGATCGCCACCAAGAGGGACCTTGCGGGCAAGTCGGGTGACATCGCGAAGTGGACGTGAAACAGGCGATCGAAGAGCGAGGCCACGGCGGCCTCGCCTGGGGCAGCGGCGCGAACGACGCTGTGGCGGCGTGAGCCGCGTCTCCCGCCGAGGAGGGGTTGGCCTCCTCGGCCTCGCAGGGGAGCTAGCCGAGCACGGCGGCATGTGGCCAAGACCCTGCCGCCGACGACGGCCCTTGCAAGCTGTTTTTCGCGAGCATCACCTGCTTGGGCAAACAATCTTGGACGCTCCTCTCAAGCATGCAGCATCCGGAGTGGTATCAGTTCCTGGGCGTAGTGGAGGCGCACGTGCGGGGAGCTGGGTCGACTCGCGACGAGCAAACCAAGAAGGCACAGCAGCTTCACCAGGAGTTCCTGGACACTGGCGCCAGGGCGGCAGGCAATGGGTCTACTGCCACCACGTGGGTGGGATGATTGCGCGAACAGTGGAGGTGGTCAAGCGCGGCGCAGGGTAGTCAATTGCAGCGCATAGACTGCACAGAGTAAGTTGCACGTCGTTGGTTGCGCAACATGGATTGCGCCGCGTATATTGAACCTCGTAGACTCTCGTTTCTTTAAACAGAAAATGGATCCCCCCCGGGAGTCTCCGCCCCATTTTCGTGTTGCAGCTTATAAATTGTTCTGTCCCATCGCCCATCCTAAATATGAAAGCGTGCCATCCCGAGGGAACTGGTATCGCCCCCCCCGTCATCCTCAACAAAAAGCCATTGCGCGCACTCGTTTATCATAAATCATCAGTTTGTAAGAATGCATCGCACAAAACAAAACGAAGTGCGCACGCTCGCGTCGTCGTGCGCGCATGCTGAAGTCGGTCAACAACTGGCGGTTGCGAAAAAAACCAAACCGAGTGTCCAAACACCATATGACAACACATGGTTTCGCAACAAGGATTTTCAAAAAAACCTGCGCTCACGCTCTTGCGAATTCTTAAAAACACCTTTTATTTCACAGCATGCTACCAAACTGGCTTCACGCGCGCGCGTGTCTAAACATTCGAACGCCCTTGCGAGCGTGCTGTCGCAAAAACCTTTTTGCAAAACAAAAGGACGAAGTGCACGCGCGCGCTTCGTCGCGCACGTATGCCGGAATCAATCAGAAACCTTCGGTTCGTAAGGGATCCCAAACCGAGTGTTCAAACAACAAAAAAAAGACACATGATTTCGCAACAAGGGTTTTCAAAAAAAGCCTGCGCTCGCGCTTTGACCATATCCTTTGGGAAACCATCCGTTTCTCAACGTGTTCATGTAATTCTGCCAAGCAGGCCTCTCGCGCCGCATGCCGAAATCATTCGCACGCCCTTTGCGCGCGTGCCGGGGTGGCACGATTCGTGTCAAATGCTACCATGCGGGCCACTCTCGCGCGTCGGCCGCGCGCGCATGTCGAACTCCACCCAAAACCTACACCACCGACGCGAAAACGCCGCGATCGTCGGCGTGATCAACATCGGCACCGTCATTGGCCTTGCTGCCGTCGTTGCCAACATCGTCACCAACATCGCTACTATCATCGACGTGTCTACCATTGTCGACGTTGCCATGACACTGCGCCCGCCCAAGTCGCCGACTCGCACTGAAGTGCCCGCTGGGATGTGCCCAGCGGTCAGCGCCACCACGGCCGCTTCGGCCGCGCCAAATTAGCTTGCCGCTGCGCTCGCGTGCTTGGGTTGGCGCGGCCGCAGAGATACACCAGCTAATGCCAAGCACTCATCACAATTACCGCCGCATGGGTCTTGCAAACCAAGGTTCGGGTGGGTGGGTGGGCTGTTTGCAAAAGCGTGGGATGTGTCAACTGGTTTGTAAAACACCAATTGCGTTACATCGATTGCACCCCATGTCTTATATGCGTATGTCTTCATACAGATACTGCGCCACATGGGTTGCACGGCGTAGGTTGCACTGCCTCGGTTGCACCACTTAGATTGCACAATATCGGTTGCACTGCATAAGTGCGTAGGTTGCATCACGTAGATTGCGCCACTTAGGGTGCACCACATAGATTGCACCACAGTCATCGCATCACATAAGCAGCACCGAGCGTATACACATATGTATGTATGTATATATATACACATATTGCACCGCGAACTATTATACAACACCCTGTTTTGGGTCCAGGCTGGCTAACACACACATATGTACGTACACGGATGTGCGGACATCAATTCTCGACATCGGCGCTGTTCGCAAGAACGATGGTTGGCAACACGACGGTTTGGGGCCCGACCGGCAAGTCTTGTCGGCATCGGCGCGCTTCCCCGAAACTGCCGATCGCGGCATCTCCACATTCGCTTTCAGTGGCCGAAATTTCGGCCCGCGCCCATCTATGGATTTATATATTTGTATAGATGCATCTATGTACACAACCACTCATCATATATCTGAGGCTGATCTGCAACGATTGCTTCCGTGTTGGATTCCTTGGGTCGCCTTTCCAACGCTGCCATCACCTTCGCCTGTTCTGCACCCGTCGCTCCATCCCGGAGAAGGGAAATCTCTTCTGTCTCCAGGTTTGTTTGGAACCTTGGAGGGTTTGAGGATCCCTAGAGTTTTGAGGCTCCTGCCTTCTACTCTCTCAGCCCCCTCCTCTTCCTCACAACTTCTTCTCTCCCGCTCATACTTTTCGCTTCCTCCCCAGACCTTCCCCCCCAATATCTTGCTTCGTTCATCCGCCGCCATCCCTCCCAGGCCATCGATTTGCCCCCCATCCTTGTCCTGCATAACTCACACTGCCGCGAATGCCCAATCCCGCTGCCCTGATGTCTGACATCACCGTGACTGCCCCCTCCCCTGACGTTGCCGCTGCTCTCGTTGATCGGAGTCCTCACCATGAAGGCCTCTGCCTGCAACAATGGGGGCGGCAGACTCGTGCACACGGAATGGGCAGCGCTACTGATTCTGCCGCGATGCTGAGTGTGATGGGGGCATTCTGATGGTGGAAATGCAATGTATAGGCATCGCGCTTGTCCATCTCATGTTCAGAAGCGTTCGCCTGCCCCAGACAATGGAAAGGCACGATGAGGATGATGATGATGATGATGATGATGATGATGAGGAGTAGGAGGAGGAGGAGGAGGAGGAGGAGGAGGAGGAGGAAGGGGAAAGGACGAGGATCATGGGAATGGTGTGGATAGTAGTGCATGAGATGGTGATGATGATGATGGTGGTGATGCTGGTGAGGAAAATGAATATGATGACGACGCTGGTTGCGAGCATGGGGAGGAGGTTGATGAGCGGTCCTCCTCTCCCTCCCTGTCTCCTCCTCTTCCTCCACTGTCCTCCCTCCTTTCCTCCAAACTCATTCTCCCTCCTCCTAATTCTTCCGTCCTCCTCCCTGCTTTCCTTGTCCCCCTTCTTCGCTTCCTCCGTGGAAGTGGGGGAGCGGCCGGAGAGGATGCTCCTGGATCGGAGGCGCTGTTCTAGGCGCTACCTGCGGCTCCCTTGCGAGGTCTGCAAGCGCCTACCACAACGGATGATGATGATGATGATGATGATGATGATGATGATGATGATGATGATGATGATGATGGTGATGATGATGATGATGATGATGATGATGGTGATGATGATGACGATGAAGATGAGGATGATGATGATGGTGAAGATGCTGATAATGATGATGGTGGTGATGATGATGATGAGGAGGCGGAGTAGGAGGAGCCTGAGGAGGACCAGTGTACACCCAAGAACCTTCAATGATATTGCAATACCCCCTCCCTCCAAATTACCTCTCCCTAAGCCCCTACAACAATTTATGTTCTCTGAGGGAATTGCCACGTTGGAAGACAACCGTTTGAAAATCGTGAACCGTGCCACAATACCATTCCTGGAATTTCAACGCCACGACTCAACGTTGTTGTACTGTTGCGCCCGGACGACCCTGAATGGTGCCAGAAAACCATTATTGGGACTTCCGCGTGACCGTTGCGCAAGGCAGCCTTACATCGTGCCAAAAATATTATTTTCTGGGACGTCAGCCATCAGATTCTTGGAAACTTTTGAAAGCAGACGAATGTGCGCGGCCCTCAAGGCAAGAACCACGTTTTGAAAAGGAACCGTCCTCCATCCGTGAACCTCTGGCAAACTTTCAAAAGGAATGTGCGCGGCGCTGGGGCGAGAACCACATTTTGAAAACCGCCCGCCCTCCATCCGCGAAGCTCTCGCATACTTTGAAGACGAATACGCGCGGGACTAAAAAGATAACAACAACTTGAAAACAGCCCGCCCTCCAGCCGTAAATCTCTTGCAACTTTTATGTTTCAAAATCATAAATGGTGATGGAGTCTTCGGCGAAACGCCTGGCCCGCCCCACCGACGCGTTTCGGGGAGCGACAGGGAGGAATTACTTATCAGGGGAAACACGGCGAAGGAGAGTAAACCCAAGATGCAACAGTGATGCTGCAATACGCCCTTACGTCCCAAGTCCCCTCCTCACCCCTGGAAAGACCAACAGCCCGTCGGCCTGCCATTGAAGGAAGAGCCCCGTTTCGGAAAAGAACAGCCTTGCATCATTCTCGCGAATAAAAACGAATCCGAAATATCATGAGCATAATATTCGACGAATTGTCCAACGAAGTCACCGCTTTGAAAAAAGACCGCCCCATCCGTGAAACTGTTGCACAACATAGGGAGGAAATATCAAAGGAGCGCCCCATTCTGAACAGGATCCGCTCACCACCACTGCAGCCGCAACATGATTTCATGGAATTGTCAGGCGTGAGCCCCATTTTGAAGAGGAGCCATCTTCTTTCCTTCTTCTGTGCATGTGCGCGGCGCTTCGGTGATAGCCCGACAGTGAAAGGAACCGCCTAGCATCATTGTAGCTGTTGGACAAACTTAAAAGCGAATGCGCGCAGTGCTAAGGCGAGAGTCCATTTGGAAAACAAGCTGTGCTCCATCCTTGTAGCGGTGGCAAGCTGTTACGACGAATGTGCCCAGCTCTATAGCAAGCATCACAGCAAACAATACGCCGACTCGCAGCCTTGTAGCCGCTGCGTGCTGTTAAGACAAATGTGCGCGGCGCTACAACGAGAATCCCATCTTGAAAACGACTTGCGCTCCATCCTCGTAACCTAAGCGAACTTCTAAGACGAATGAGTGCGGCACTAAGGCGGGAACCTGACTTTCAAGACGACCTGCGCTTCATCCTTGCAACTGTTGCGCCTTTCAGGCCGCAAGACCACAAACGGTGAGGAAGTCTTAGGCGAAACGCCCGGTTGCCCTGCCGACGCGCCCGGGGATGCGACATGGAGGAGTTATCCAGAAGGAATGGTATGGAGGAGGAGGAGGAGGAGGAGGAGGAGGAGGAGGAGGAGGAGGAGGAGGAGGAGGAGGAGGAGGAGGAGGGAGAAGGCGCATTGAAGGAGGGAGGCGGAGGGAGAAGGACGCAGGAGGAGGGAACAGGATGGAGGGGAGGATGGAGGCGGAGGGGGAGACAGGGGGACGGCGTGTAAAGACTGCGCTCCTACTCCAATCGTCGAACTAACCCAGAGCAAACTGACAGAGCGCAGAGGTCTGGCAAATCCGCCAAACCTGTCGGTGTGTGGAAGAAGCTCTTTCATTCGTCGCTGTTTCATTCGTCTTCTCCTCGTCGTCGTCGTCGTCGTCGTCATCGCCATTCCAAACTTTCTCCTGGGTTGCCTCTCTTACCCTGGGCCTTTCTCTTCAAGCGTGCTAGCCGAAACGACAATAACGCACGTCGTAGTTCATTCGAAAAAAATCATTCCCTTGATCCCTTCCCCGCCGGGGGGGTGGGGGGGGGGGCACCGGGGGGCAACCCAAGAGGGGGGGGTCCCAGGGGAGACCGGGGAGGGGGAGGGGGTCCCGGATCAGAATGCCATTTCCGTCGCTGTTCGTCCCTTGTCCTCGGCCCTCCTTGTTCGAGCCCAAGAGCGCCCAAGAACGCTCCAACAGCGCTCCAAGGGCGCCCCAAGAGGCGATCTTTTGGACTCCCGAGGGGGGGCCTTGATTAAGGAACCCCACTTCTTTGATTGATCTTCTACAAGATGGCCCCGAGAGCACCCTTCGGGCTCCCAACAGCGCCCCAAGAGGCGCTCACACGGATCCAAGAGGTGTTCAACATCTTCGTCGTCCTCGTCGTCGTTGTCTTCAGGGTCGGTGTCACCGGCCGTAAGGCCTTCGCAATATTGCAGCGACTGCACTGCGATGGCGGGTGGGCCAGCAAACAATTTTTGAATCAACCCCACTCCCATGCAGTTATCTGACCTGTCTGGCAGTTTAAGAGAGAGAGAGAGAGAAAACACAAGCAAAAGAGGGCGAGAGAGAGAGAGAGAGAGAGCGGTACAGTGAGAGAGAGAGAGAGAGTGAGAGAGAGAGAGAGAGATAATGAGCGATATATGTGTATACCGCATAGACCACCCTTCGGGTGATAAGGAGGTGAGGGGGGGGGGGAGGGACCACCGTCGCACTCGATCGATACCACTATCGATCTCATTATCGATCTCATTATCGATCTCACAGTCGATATGGCTATCGATCTCAGAATCGATCTCACAATCGATCTCACATTCGGTCTCACTATCGATCTCACTATCGACACCACAACCGATCTCACAATCGGTCGCACATTCGGTCTCACTATCGATATCACTATCGATATCACTATCGATCACATTCGATCGATCTCACAATCGATCTCACTATCGATCTCACGATCGATCTCACATTCGGTCTCAATATCGATCTTACTATCGATATCACAATCGATCTGACTATCGATCTCACTATCGAACGCACTATCGAAATCATTATCGATCTCTCGTTCGGTCTCACTATCGATCTCATTATCGATATCACAATCAATCTCACAGTCGATCTCACATTCGGTCTCACTATCGATCTCACTATCGAACGCATTATCGATCTCATTATCGATCTCACAACCGGTCTAACTATCGATATCACTGTCGATCTCACAATCGATAGTGAGATCATCATCGTCATCACCTCTCACCATCATCATCACCATCATCATCTCCATTATCATCTCTCAGCAGCACCATCATCATCAATGTCGTCATCATAATCACAAACATCGACACCATGAAGGCCATCATCACCATCAGCATCGCACAATCGATCTCACATTCGGTCTCACTACCGATATCACAATCGATCTCGCAATCGACGTCATCATCATCATCATCAACATCAACATCATCATCATCATCATCGCCATCATCAACATCATCATCATTATCACCATCATCATCATCACCATCATCATGAGAATCATCATCATAATAATCATCAACATCATCATCGGGACACCGACGGGACACGGACGGGACACCAGCGGGACACCGGCGGGACACCGCGGGGCCCCGGCCGCCCGGAAGGGAATCATTTGGTCCGGCCGCGCCTCAGCCACACGGGACACCAGCGGGACACCGGCGGGACACCGCGGGGCCCCGGCCGCCCGGAAGGGAATCATTTGGTCCGGCCGCGCCTCAGCCACAGGAGACTTTCTCTCGCCCGCCCACGCAGCTTCGCCTCGCCCGCACGCACGGCACGCACGAACACGAAACCGAAATCGATTTCCCGGTAGGGGGGCTCTCCGTTCCACTTCGATCTCACCCCCTCATCTCCGATTTAGAGAGAGAGAGAGAGAGAGAGACAGAGAGAGATAGAGAGAGAGAGAGAGACAGAGAGAGGGAGAGAGAGAGAGAGAGAGAGAGAGAGCGAGAGAGAGAGAGAGAGAGAAAGATAGATGGAGAGAGAGAGAGAGAGGGACAAGGACACCCTGGTTTGGGGAACAACGCCCTCGACCTGTGTAGATGTTGCACATGTTTTCGCTTCTGGTTGTCAAGCGTGTAGAAACTCCAAACGCATGCCCCATTGTGAACATGTGTCTTCCGCTGTCCGTGTAACTTTTGTACGCTGCTGCATCGCTGGCGAGTAGGTTTGTGGAAAGCACAAACCAAGCGAGATCCCCATTTTGTGAAGGAGCCAGTCCTTGTGGCTGTTGGAAGAAGCTTTGAGGCGCATGTGCGCGGATAGAAAGCGAGAACCACACTAAAGGAAAACACCCGCCCTGCATCCGCGTAACTATTCTGAGCGTTCAAAACGAGTGCGTGCAGCGCTACACAGAGAGAGAGAGAGAGAAAAATCAATCTTTCGAATACGACCCTGCCTACATAGTTGCAGTTGCCGCGATCTTGTACGACGAATGCGCGAGGTGTCAACGAACATGTCGAAAACCGTCCGCCCACCTTTTGTGTTCCTATTCATCATTTCACGGGTGAAAAATTGTAAGCTGTGAAAGGCGAGGCACCCAGCCCACCCTGCCGATTCGTTTGGTGGTGTGATGAGGGGGAAGGGGGAGGGACGATGAGGGAGAGGAAGATGAGGCTTGTGTCAAACATAATGACAACGATGACCGTTCTGAAGATGATGGGGAGGAGGGAGAGGGGATGGGCGAGGGGCAGGAGAAGGAAGACACGAGCCAGCGTCGACGAGCAGGAGTACTAGATGAGGAGACGACGATAATAATGAGACACCGAATTAACGAATTATGTATGAGAGCTGGGCGAGGAGGAGGAGGGCGGCGGATGATGATGAGAAAGAGAGCGGAAGAGGGAGGGAAGTACGGAGACGGGACGACGTGTCACTGCGATCTCTTGGCGAAGACAACGTACATCGGGTCGCCGATGCCCACCTTCGCGAGCAGCGGTGTCACGTCTCGGGCGAGCGGCCGCTCGAAGAGGCCGCTGTAATGCACGAACGATGCGTAGATCAGGCAATGCTCCACGTCGTCCCTGGTCTGGCGCCAGCACCTGACGGCCTTCTCCTCGAACATTCGATTGCTCGTTGACAAGATCAGGACACCGCCAGGTTTCAGGACACGGCCCATCTCCCTCAATATCTCCAGCGGCCTTACGAAATACTTGAACGCCGCGGCGCAAGTCACGATGTCAAACGAAGCGCTGCAGTACGGCAGCTCTGGGATCTTGTTGAGGTCCCTGACGGCGAAATCGTCTGCCTGCGAATTGCCCTGCAGTTCGAACTCCATCAGACCCGTAATGGACATGTGCTCCCATGTGCGGGACTGTGGGTAATGGCTCAACCTCCCGGCGCCCACGTCGAGGCACCTGGCGCCCGGGTACTCGGCGAACGCCTCCGCGTAGAACTCCGTCAGCGCGCCCCGTGCCCCGCCGTCCAT